TGAGTGGGAGGGACGCTTACTTTGAGCTGCAAAGCAGCTGGAGATTTCCAGCACGGAACAGTTCTGCCTTCAGCTGGCCCCCCTCTCTCTTCACAGACACAGAAGCTACAAAGATCAGAAAGGCATTTGCTCGACAAAACTTCTCTCCTTCCCTTCTTGCCTGAAGGGTAAGGTGTCTGTCAGATGTCTGATAGATGATCATCTGAACAGATAACGCGACTGGTAACTCGGGAGCAGCTATGTTTAGCTGCTTCCATCAGTAAGTCCCGCCCAGGACGTCCGCAGAGGCATGTTTTGTGAAGGCCCTAATCCAAATTTCTTCTCTTCCAGCTGACATCCTTCAACAGATCAGTGTTTTCCAATCCTCACGCTTATTGGAGGAAGCATTTCAGTAGGTATCAAACCAGAAAATGAGCTAAATGCTTTTAATCTGTCCTGGTAATTGTAAGTATGAGCAACAGTCATATTGAGCAGGATGCAGAACCTGTAGCCCTCTGCAACATCCTACTAGCTGGAGTTCTGACAGTTCAGGTTTAACAACTTCTGGAGGGTCATAAGTTTTTCTCATATAGCATATACTTGGGGATATTTACTTCCAAGCATTACAAATCATTAGTTACACTTGGAAAACATTCTGGAACTAGTGGTTTTGCCCCATATGCATGTGACATCTCTGTTATTCATTAAAGCAACATTTTTCAGGGTTGCATAGGATCATGAAAAATCCATCTGCTTTAATGAGTAGCAGTAATGTGCTGTGTTCATATGTGATCCAAATGATAAATACTCTGGGGATGATCACATATGAACACTCTGAGAAAATGATTCTTCCAAATCATTTTCCCAGCATGCATAGCACTACAAATTGTATTGTATGTCAGAAGCATTACTTGAAAGACCAGCACCTAACTTTAAGTCCCCTAAGCCTCTATGCAATGCAAATCATTCCATCCCATTTTGAAGGTGTTTCATGCAGTGCACCACGATACATGTCTTGTAAAATTGTTAAATTGCAATTCTTTTAACTAAATCCCGATAAAAGAAAATAAGTGTCAGTTTCCAATAGGCATACTCTGCTGGTCTTAAGTATAGCTGTCCAAACTCTGTATTCTCCAGATATGTTGGACTAGAATTGTCATTGTTCCCCAAGTTTTTCTCTTACTGCAAATGCTTTCCTGTTTAAGGAGGCAGTTTGGTCTTTACTGTAATTACTGCCTGGGAAGTGAAGTTGAGGTTCATGCTACATTAGTCATTCAGTGTACCATTG